TTTTTGAGACAGTGTCTCACTCTGTTGCTAGGTCAGAGTGCAGTGGCATGATCTTGGCTCACTGTATCCTCCACCTCCTGGGTTTAAGCGATTCTCTTGCCTCAGCCTCCCAAGCAGTTGGGACTATAGGCGCCTGCCACTACGCTTAGCTATTTTTGCATTTTTTAAAGTAGAGATGGGCTTTCACCATATTGGCAAGGAGGTCTCGATCTCTTGACCTCATGATCTGCCTGCCTCGGCCTCCTAAAGTGCTGGGATTACAAGTGTGAGCCACCGCTCCCGGCCATACATTCAATTTTTTGTCTTGATAAATATACCATAAAAATAGGAGGTATTGGCTAGGTGTGGTGGCTCACGCCTATAATCCCAGCACTTTGGGAGGCTGAGGCGGGTGGGTCATAAGGTCAGGCAATTGAGACCAGCCTGACCAACATGGTGAAACCCCATCTCTACTAAAAATACAAAAATTAGCCGGGTGTGGTGGCAGGTACCTGTAATCCCAGCTACTCAGGAGGCTGAGGCAGGAGAACCATTTGAACCCGGGAGGCGGAGGTTGCGGTGAGCCTAGATCATGACAGAACAAGACCAATCTCAAAAAAAAAAGAGATATTTTATTATGGTTGTTACCTGTATTTTGGTAGTATAAGTCTTAAACATTTGTATAATGTTCACTCATTATAATGAGTGAACATTATACAGCATTTGTATAATGAGTGAACATTATACAAATGTTGGGCGAAAGAGCAAGACTTCATCGCAAAAAAAAAAAAAGGTATTTTATTATGGTTGCTACCTATATTTTTGTAGTATAAGTCTTAAGCATTTGTGTAATGTTCACTCATAATACAAATGCTGGACGACAGAGCCAAGACTCCCATCTCAAAGGAAAAAAAAAAGGAGGTATTTTATTATGGTTGCTACCTATATATTTATAGTGTAAGTCTTAAGCATTTGTGTAATGTTCACTCGTTTTAGCTGCTGGAAACCCTTGTTTACCTTTTGTATGGGTACTGTCTTCTGTTGGGATGGAGGATGTTTGAAGGGAGTCAGTACCTTGGGCCAAGAGATTGTGTTCCTTATACTTGATCTTAGCCAAAAGGCCAAGAAGCAGTAGAGATTGTGTTCATTGCTTGGCACATCCTGTCTTTTGTGAAGTGTAATATATACTCAGAGTTCTGCATAAATAATAAATTGCAATAACGATGGAGTGTCCGTCTTGTGGAAACTGGTCAGGTCAGAAGTATACGTGTGAGAAATATAATAAAAGGCCAACCGGAGGCATTGTAAAGAATATCAGGCAAACTGAAAAAAAGAATTAGGTTCATAAGAGTTCTTGGCTTTGCTGTTCTTTTGAGGTTTAGTAATCTTGACGAGAAAAGCCCACAAAATAGAACATTTGTTTTGACTTACACGCTTTTCCGGTTCCTAATCAGAGAACATTATGGCTATGAAATCAGTATTTTAATTGAGTTATCTCGTATGATGTTTGTCCCATGATTAAATTGAGAACAAGAAGTATCCTTGAGTCTGCTGATGTGTGTTTGTTTATAAGTGGTCTGGAGTCCTGCCTGTCAGCCTAATTTTAGGTAGTCTGCATAGTTGTTGGAAGACAGACTGTTTTCCCACTGAATGCCGCATACAGATATATATTTGTGTATGTGTATTTATACATACTTGTCTTTTATTTTTGGTAGAAAATGATGCACCCTGTTGCCAGCAGTAATCCAGCTTTCTGTGGGCCTGGCAAGCCTTCCTGCCTCAATGAAGATGCCATGAGAGCTGCTGATCAGTTTGACATATATTCCTCCCAGCAAAGCAAATACAGCCACACAGTCAGCCACAAACCAATGGTTTGTCAGAGGCAAGACCCATTAAATGAGTCACACTTGCAGACTACAAGTGGTAGAAGCATAGAAATAAAAGACGAACTAAAGAAAAAGAAGAATCTCAACCGATCTGGTAAGCGTGGCCGGCCTTCGGGAACCACCAAATCAGCAGGATACCGGACCAGCACAGGCAGACCCCTGGGAACCACCAAAGCGGCTGGATTTAAGACAAGTCCAGGCAGACCTTTGGGGACAACTAAAGCTGCGGGATACAAAGTCAGCCCAGGGAGACCTCCAGGTAGCATTAAAGCTCTATCCCGTCTTGCCGATCTTGGTTATGGCTGTGGCACTGCTGCTTTTCCTTACCCTGTGATGCATAGCAGAGCAGTTCATGGGGTAGAGGAAACTAGCAGTGAAGTCAAACCACCCAATGAATGAATGAGGCAGGAAAAGATGGCCAGGTTTAGAAGGAAGATTGTGAATAATCCCAAAGCTTGTTGGTTTTATTTTGTTACACATAGTTTTATGGCGTGGGCTTTCCAAATTTGTCTTCCTATTTGGTTTTTTGGTCCTGCTTTAGCTCAGAAACTGCCATATGCTGACAAATGCACTCAGGGCATGAGCAGTGGCATTGTATTTGTACATAGGTTCAAGTGTAACACCTAACTAAATCATTTTTGCTTTTCCTTTAGAGTTATGATCATGTCTCATGTTTCATTACTACTCTGAGGCCGTTCTAAATAGATGCTTTATGTGATAAACAACTGAAACCATTATACCTTTTAGTTTGTGAAGTAAGCCTACAATATAATAAAGACACTATCTAACGTAGTTTTAACTGATGGAGTAAAAGAGCAAACTAATGAATCAGGATTACTTGAGGTAATGGCTGTGTGAGTTTTTGTGACATTTATTTTCACAAGACTGGACACAGATATTTGTATGCTTTGGCATTTACATCCACTTCAAGTGTTCAGAAATTTATTTTAAATGTTCTAGGTTTAAGCAGCTTGTAATTTATTGATCTACATGGCATTAATTGATTTAACCATTATTCCTAAAATAATTTTTTAGTGTTTGCCTTTGAGCAGTGATAGGTTGTGTATTTTTTAATTGCCTATGAGCATATATGCCAAACACTACAAACAATTCATATTTACAGAAAATTTAAACTATTTTATAAAAACTGCACATTACATTTTTGGTGAAATACAGTACATTCTGAGGATAGCATATTTCATGAAAAAGAAACATTCTCTAGGTTTGCATGTCACTATAGTTGCTATATTTTGCCTTTCATGTAGAAAGTTGTAAAGTATTATGTTTAAAAGCATTTATTGGCTGGGCGTGGTGGCTTACCCCTGTAATCCCAGCACTTTGAGAGGCCAAGGTGGGCAGAACACTTGAGGTCAGGAGTTCAAGACCAGCCTGCCCAACATGGTGAAACCCCATCTCTACTAAAAATGCTAAAATTAGCTGGGTGTGGTGGCGGGCACCTATAATCCAAGCTTCTTGGGTGGCTGAGGCAGGAGAATTGCTTAACCCCAGGAGGCGGAGGTTGTAGTGAGCTGAGATCACGCCACTGCACTCCAGCCTAGGCAACAGAGCAAGACTCTGTCTCAAAAAAAAAAAAAAAAAAAAAAAAATTTTTTTTTAAAAAAAAAAAAAAAAAAAAAAAAAAAGTTTTTTTTTATTAATGTTGCTCATTTTTTTGGAATTTTTTAGTTTTTCTCAGAAATTGTCCCATTGCATTAGCATTTACTGTGTTTTCAGGTTTATATCTACCAAAGGACACAAATTGAATGGTAGCCTGTAAAACTGGTATAAACAGAATGCATTTCCTGACCATCAGAACCAAAATATTAAAAAACATATAGGAATTCATCTATGCATGAAACATGTAAAAAGTATGTTGGTTAGTTTAATTAAAAATCTTATTGTGGGTCCAGTGAGACCATTTGATCCAAAATATTTTTTCCCCCAATCATGTTTGCTTTAGAAGCAAGATAGAAAGGAAAAAAAAAAGTATTAACTAGTTATGTATAGTAGGGACAGAGAATCTTTCTTCTTTCCTTCTGAAAGTAATATTTCTTGTTATACATTTTATTTATTCTGAGTTCTAAATAAAATATTATAAACTTCAGACTTGAAAAAATTCCACTGAACTTTAAAGTTACAATGTTTGTATTTGGGATTTTAAATGCCTTTGAGATTAAAATGTAGAATTGCAGGACCCAAAAACCTTTAAAATAATTAAAATTTTAAAAGGGCACATGTTGTGTTTTTTTGGGCTTGCTCTCAGTTAATGCAAACTCTGATTGCAAATGGATGTCATGTTTCATACCTTTTTTTGTCAGGAAAAAAGCAGCAAGCCTTCAGGTGTTCCAGTGATGCCTGACACAATGAGCTGGACTTTATGCTGCTCTTTACAGTCAGAGGTGTTGCATTATATGTGGGGACTATGTGCACTGGCATCTAAGACAGTGACCTCAAGAATATTACCTTTGCACAAACCGTAGAGAACTATGTTGGATGGCTACATAATCAGTTATAACATTCTGGCAGCTAAATTGCTATAAGAGCTGCTTCTTGCTGAAGCTTAAAATACAAGATTTTTAATAATTTACTCAGAAGAATATAACTTCTGACACACACAAATGCTTGCCTCTTTATTCATATGTTCATTACCTACTCTCCATACGTATCTGTCATTTAGCTGTTTCTCAAGATGATGTTTAGCAGTTGGCTGCTTAGAAATCTCTTTCAAGCCAGTTTCTAAAGACAGTTGTTTAATGTTCTGCCATAGAATAAGGCATACCATTGTCAAAGATTTGATTGTTGTGTTTTATAGTAAGTCCATTTGACATTTCCCTTTCAGTTTATTTTCCTTCCTTAATTTGTTATACATACCCTACCCTTTCTCCCCTGCCTTTCCTACATTCATTCCTCTTCCTCTGCCCTTCAGCACATCTACTTACTGGTGCTGTGCTGTGTGTCAGAAGATAAAACAGGTGTATTATTGTATAATGATTTTTTTATACATGTTTATGAAATGGTGAGATCAACTAAAGGAGGCATGTTCGTAACAGTGTTTATTATCAGGAGCTATGTCCCAGGAATAAAAAGGGAGGGGCAAATGGCTACAGTTTTAAATGGATAACATTATTTAGAAAGCTGAACTTACTGTTCATCTGAGTGGTTACCTGGAGTATTAGATCTATGCACTGGTGAGCATCTCCTGATTCCACTTATTTTTCTCCCTGTGAACAGTTTACTGGTGCCATGCTGAAGAGAAAGACATCTAAGTAATAACATGAATGAAGTCTTAAAGTTTAAATATTTTTACTGCTATATAACCTAAAGACTACATTGTACATCTTTTGTAACACTGTCTCTTGTTATGATAAACACTGAAATAGCATGTTAAACAGTTGCCTATACCTTAATATAATCAGTTGGGGAAAACTGGCCTTTTCTCCCCCACTGTATGTTTGTTTCTTGAAAGGTAAATTGCTAATTTTATACTGTGTAATTCTGTTCTTCACAAAATAGGTTTCATTATTCTATATTTAAACAGTTGGTCAGAAAATGATCTGCAATTCAAGTAAGTTTGCATTACTTTTTTCTTTAAAAAATATTTTAACATGCCTTTTTTATCATATTAGCAAATAAGGAGCTAATAACATGAAATTTTCATTTTTGACAGCTATAACCTTGCATAACTAATATTTAGGATGATTTTGATACTATCTTTAGAGTTTTGCACTGGGTATTAAATTTATTGGCACAATGTATTGGAAGAAAATGAGTATCTGGTTTAATTTTTAATATTTAGAGACATTTAAACAAATCAGTGTTTCAATTAGACTAAAAATCTTTATATTTTTTATTTACTTTTTAAAAGAAACATCTGTCAGAGTAATATTGATTCCAAACTGATGTTTGTGTGAATTTACATGTCTATTTTCATGAACTAAGAATGGAGTTTCTTTGAGTTAAGGAGAAAAATATATATATTTGGGTCAATTTATTAGGTTAAAGGTGACCCATTCAGTGTAAAAATAGACACTGTGTGTGAGCTAAAGAAAAAAAAAGTAAATTTCTCCTTTATATTCTAAGAAGCTTTAAAAGAACAATTCAGGGGATATTGATAACTGCTACTCTGTCAGTCATTATCTGTATATGCAGTAAAATTTTGTGATCCCTTTATAGTAATATAAAGAATTCACAATGGCTTTTCAAAACATTTTTTTCCTTGGACATAAAGAATTTTGAAGCTATTCTATTTTTGTTGTTATTATAGCTTAACTGTATGCTGTTAAACTCTAGGATGTATCTGAATCTTTCCTTTTTTTTTTTCCCCTCCTCCTCCAAGTATATAAATCTGTGTTCTCACATATAATGTATTTAATTTTTGGAAAATTTATGCTATAGTAAATCAAGTGTGTGATTTAAAGTAATCAGATCACTTTGATTCTTTAAGTTTTCACAATTTCTTTTTTCCACAGGTAATTTTGGAGAAAATAATTAACAGTTAACTGATAATAAGCACGCCGTCCTCTGCTGTAAAAAGTCTGAATAGATACTGTGTATGTTTTTATGTCCATGAACTTGAACTACTCGTGTGCAATTATGTGTATGGGAATGGAGTAGTGTTCATGATTTGTATCTACATCATCATGCGGATGTATATTCATTAATAAAGTCATTACTTTAAAGCCAACTATGTTTACTACTTTGTTTTTTATTATGGTACTTTTCAAGTACTTAAGTGGTAAGTGGTAGACCTTTTTCATGACTGTAGATCTTGTATTATTCTTAGAATTTTGCTTTTTTTTCTTTTTTAAGACAGGGTCTCACTCTTTCATCCAAACTGGAGTTCAGTGGCGTGATCTTAGCTCACAGTAGCCTTAACCTTCTGGGCTCAAGCAGTCCTCCTGCCTTCCGACCTCAGCCTCCTGAGTAGTTGGCACTAGTACATTCCACCATGCCCAGCTAATTTTTTCATTTTCGTATAGATGGGGTCCCCTATGTTGGCCAGGCTGGTCTCAAACTCCTGACCTCATGATTTGCCTGCCTCGGCCTCGCAAAGTGCTGGGATTACAGGCATGAGCCACCATGCCCAGCCAGTAGTTCCCCTTTATCATCTATAATTTTTTTTTTTTTTTTTTTTGAGACAGGGTCTCACTCTGTTGCCCAGGCTGGAGTGCAGTGGTGTGATCACAGCTCACTGCAGCATCAACCTTCTGGGCTCAGGCAGTCTTCCCACCTCAGCCTCCCCAGTAGCTGGGACTGCAGGTGCACGCCACCATGCCTGGCTAATGTTTTGTATTTTTTGGAGAGACAGGTTTTGTCACATTGCCCAGGCTGGTCCTGAACTTCTGGACTCAAGCTGTCTGTCCGCCTTGGCCTCCAGAATGCTGGGATTACAAGCATGAGTCACCATACCTGACTTAGTAGTAGTGTTTTTGTACTGGCTCTGAGATAGATAAATGTGGCCATGGAAAACTGATACATTTCATTTTATCTCTGCAGCCATTCTGTTGTAAGAACTTAGGGGCTTTGAAGTAGCTTCTTAAAACAGTAACAGAAAAAAATCAGTCATTTAAAATTTTCTCTGTCATTTGTCTTTCTTGTGACTCTCTTAAAATTTTTTTTTGCCGGCCGGGCACGGTGGCTCAAGCCTGTAATCCCAGCACTTTGGGAGGCCGAGGCGGGTGGATCACAAGGTCAAGAGATCAAGACCATCCTGGTCAACATGGTGAAACCCCGTCTCTACTAAAA